CCCTCAGGCCAGCCCCACACCACCCGTGAGCCCCCTCCCCAGCCCCTCCCGTGACCTGCACGCGTGGAGGCACGGTGTCCCTGGCGAGAGCTGCGTCGCGGCACCAGAGCAGTGGGCAGGAGGCTGCCGGCAGGGCCAGGGACCTGGGCAGGAGGGGGCACAGGGGGGACATTCACCTACCGAGATGGGGGGCAGTGAGAAGGTGCCTGATGGCAGCCCCACAGCGCTCCAACATTTCCCCAGGAGCTCTGCTCCCCGTCCCTGCAGTCCTGTAGAGCCCGGAATACTGTCGCGATGGGTACGGGGGATACAGAGCACGGGGCACAGGCACTCAGAGGGGACAGCTGAGCATTCTGAAGCCCCACAGCACCCACAGACCCACAGGACTGAAGGGTGCAGCGTTGCTTTCTGGCACTGGGGCAGCCCACGCACCCTAACCCTGCCCGGGGCACACCGGGTCCCTACTCACGGTGTTGTGGGGTACCACAGAAGACCGGTGCCGCTTCGCCACCACCACGGGGCCGATCTGAGGGGCCAGGGACACACGCTGGGTACAGAGAAGATGGGGTGAAGGGTAGGCAGGGACCCCCTCTCCGACTCTGTCCCCCCACCCCAGAGCACCCAAGCCAAGTGGTCTCAGCTCCACTAAAGGTCCTGGTCTCACCATGCCCTCTGACACTGTCTGCCCCACACCAGGCACTGTGGGGACCCACAGGGATCCATGCCCCCAGCCTGGGGGGGAGCCAGCCCTGGGGCTGGGGGGGGCCTGGCCAGGCCTGCAATGCAGAGGTGTGAGCAGAGTGCGGCGCGGGATGCCCACACGCGGGGATGAATTATTGAGGAGCCCGGCTGGGCCACAGTGGAGGGTAATTGAGTTTCTATTGATCGCAGGAGGCTTGCTGCGAGACAACGCTCCAAGCCCAGCATCAATACATTAAGCCCTCTCTGCCAGGCTCCTTGCAGCCTCCCGTACTGGGATGGGGAGGTATCTGGGTGCCCTAACCCTGCGTGGCCCAGGGCCAGAATCCCAGCCTGGGCTGCTGACCTGTGCGGGCAGAGGGTCCCAGGGGCACGGTGCAGGAAAGCAGAGCAGACCCGGGGTTCCTCACGCACACGGTGTGCAGACCCTACCTCAGCACCAGCCCCCACGGGCTGCCGCATCCCAGCACTTCCCTCGTACCTGCCTCTCCTGGGCTTTGCGCTTCAGGGTCCGCACCACCGTCAGATCAACGTCCTGAAAGGCAGAGGGGAGGCTGGGGGCTGGCAGGGCTGCGCAGGGCCAGGGGCCCCCCCAGCATCCGTGCTCCGGCAGCAGCCCGTGGCAGCTCGCCCCTAACCACGGCCATGCAGAGGGGCCGCCCCACTGCAGGAGTGGGGCAAAACTGCCCCCTCGCCGCTGGGAAGAAACCGAACCCCAGGGCTCACAGCGGGTCACTCCTTACCACATCGTCCTCGGTGCGGTCGTAGCTGATGTCCGAGTGGGACAGGAGAGACTGGCACGACTCATCCACTGCAGACGACCTGTGGGGCGAGCTGGGGGTCAGCCCAGCTGGGGCAAACCCTCCCTGGCCAGCACCTACTCCTACAGCCGCTCCTGGGAGCCCGGAGCTGGTGCCTCTGCCGAGCCCAA